GGGCGTCGTAGGGTGATTTCCTGTGCTCTTGCCGGGAATCGGTTGCACGTCGAATCCTGCTGATTGGGCATGCCGACGTCCGACAAACTCGTCCGAGGGCCTACTAATGGGGGGGTGTCTATTCAGAGTGCTCCAAAGGTTTTTTCGCTTCTATCTCTAGTGGCAATTACTTATGGGCCATTTGTTGATGATTGAGCACATAATACCCGTACACTTGATTGCGGGAATTGCCTTTCAGCTAGTATAGCGCTCAGGCCAAAGTACAACTGGCTAGGGGCACACGGCTACGGAAGCCCAATCCATTAGTAAAAAAAACAGTTCCTCTCTTAACTTTCCGTTTTATTAATATCTTGACAAACGAAGAAAAACCTGAGGAGAATCTAAAATTAGGTGGAGGGAACGTCTTACAATGTATGGCAGATGAACGCTGAGGCTCTACATTTTCGAGACGATAGACAAGTATAAACATACTTGTAATCAAAGGCAGTTCCTCTGATAAGGAATCATAGTCTTCGATTCAAGAGCGCTTCTCAGTTCTCACTTTTGCAACAACGAGCGGTCTATTCGTGTATCTCAAACTGTATTCAAAAAATGAGGTAAGTCTGAGTTTCAGCAATAGTAGCGATGTATACTCCGCGACGGTGCGCGGCCCGGGAATAGGGCCAGGAGAAGATGGAGAAGTTGTGCCTCAGTCCACTATTGTACGAATAACTCGGACTGAGTCGAGCGGGGCTCGCAACGGTGGGGCTGTACCAACCAAGGCACGCCATCGCTTAGTGATCACAGGGGAGGGGGTCGTATTTGACTATGGAATTAGGGGGATCGTATTTTTCAGGAAATGATCACAACGCGATGGCTTGCCCTGCTTCGAAGTCCGCGAGATGGATTTCAGCGGGGTTCAGAGCCCTTGCGATAGGCAGTGTCATCGATCGCGAGAGCAAGGGGGAAGGGATCTCAGCGGTGTTCAGAGCCTTTGCAAAATTTTATTCCATTCTTATCGGAGACCACGTGAAAAGGGTCTTATTAATGGTCTGAAAGCACCCTAAAGAGCATCTCAGCGACCTTCGGAGACTCCTTCTCCCTTACCCCCAGCATCGTATCTATCCGTGGTATCCCCTTATGTCAGAGCCCTTGCAAAGGGGATTCCATTCTGCCTCGAGTCCGCTCGAGATGGGTTTCAGCGGGGTTCAGAGCCCCTTGCGATAGGCAGTATCATCGATCGCGAGAGCAAGGGGGAAGGGATCTCAGCGGTGTTCAGAGCCTTTGCAAAATTTTATTCCATTCTTATCGGAGACCACGTGAAAAGGGTCTTATTAATGGTCTGAAAGCACCCTAAAGAGCATCTCAGCGACCTTCGGAGACTCCCTTCTCCCTCCCCCCCAGCATCGTCAGATAAACCTTTACCCCCTCATGTGAGACCTCTTGCGAAGGGGATTCCATTCTGCCTCGGAGCACGGCACGGCATCGTTGCGATCACAACGGGAGGAGTCTTATCGGAGGAATGGAATTAGGGGGATCGTTTATTTCAAGAAATGACACGCCACCGGTGCCCCGTGCCCTTGGTACTACCACTGGAACAACCAATGTCGAAGCCATAAGACGTGGCGAACGCTTCTTACTATTGCTGTCCACCGTGCTGCTACCTACGCAACCGTGTGACGTCTCCACGTACGCCACTCGGGGGACATCACATTACAAGCACTGGACCCAACGTTATTACAGCTAGAGTCATTAAGAGAGAGAAGAGGCGTGACTGCGAAAACGTGAAGGGATCCGGACTAAAAAGGAGGAGGGACGGAAGAGAGGCGTATATGAGAGAGGAGAGTCATCACGGGGATACGCCAGCCATCTTGCTATCTCCACTTGTCGCGCTTTGATGTGGACGACATAAAACTGGCGCAGTGCGGCGACGGAGAGGGGGCATTTAGCACTCCGAGCCATCTAGAGAGCTCTGTCATGAGCAAGACAGGTGTTGCCGGGTTTTACCGTGGTAGTTAGCCGAGCTTGCCCATTTTTTTTGACCAGCTGTCACTAAGAGTTAAACAGTTCACCAAGAGCGGATCTGTGAACCGGAGGTAGTAAAGCGCCGAACAGCGCCCATAAAATTCCTCGAAAATTTTAGTGAATCGAAAATTTCCAATCAATCGGCCAATATAATTAAGAACATGCCAAGTCGTATCAGTCATATAACAGTGTTCATATCGGTGAGTTCCCGTTTGAGTTGCTGGCTACAACCGAAATGAGACGATTGCTGCTAGAAATGGCCGCGAATCCTTGAGTGAAGCGAAATCCAAGGTTATCATTTGGGCGGAAACAGAGAATTGACGAGCACAACAGTGATGAATGATTCTTTTGTATCTGAGTCCTGAAGCACATTCAAGGCTAACTGTCGGCACAGTCACCTGAACCAGTGCACCCTTCTCATTGCTGAACTGACAAAAGACGGGCAAAACAATCGTAATTTGTCGCGTCGTCACTGGCGTATCGTACGACGACACGCAGGCAAATTCCCTGCAGTGTTTGTCATTTGGAGCAGCGGAACGTATATTAACCTTTCAGGTGTAGCAAGGCTCCACTGTTTAGCGAATATCGAATTCCCCTTTGGTACTTGTCTTCAAAACGGCCAAGGCAAAGCGACTCATCACGTCAGGCGCGTCGTCGCTCGCTGCCCATCAGCGCCTTATAATGCGATTGACTTGTCAAATACAAGCCCTATGATTGGTGCACTTGTAACCCCAAAGAAGCCAATGCTAAGTTCACAATGCAGGTAACTCTCATCATCGTTCTTATCATGGTTATTGCCCATATAACACGACTTATTGTGGGAATGAGGAGCAAGATGAATTCAAAGGTGTGGCCATTTTGATTACATCGATCGAAATTGTGTTCAATAAAAAGAATTCAGCACGAGATGGAACCTTCTGCAATTGTCATTCAACCGAAGAAAAAACAGTCTGATAAGACGAAGAAGAAAAAGAGAACATCACTCGCCTGGTAGGCACCGACTTTGAACCTCTCATAAACCTCTTTGAGCGAATAGGCGACTTTTGGCTGAATAGGGTTTTTGAATCTCGCATTCTGAGATTGTATTTCCCACAGTACCCAATAGAAATGGGAATGGATGGAGGCTTATACCCAGCGAAAATCACTAAGTCTCCCCACAGATATTCGTTCGTCCCATCACGGAATCTGTTTTCTAGCACGGTCGGCGATCAGGTACAGAAGTTGAAAATATGGCGTCGGTAGGGTAGAATGGTCCACG